TATGAATTTCTGAAACCTTTATGACTTGTTTGCATCCTATTATGTCAAGTTAGTCGCCAATGTAACTAAAAAGTCATCTTCTCATTGTTGCAAATACTTAAGTCGCAGCTACTAAAGTTCGCATTTGTCATCAACTGGGGTTTGTGGCCAAAGTGCGGATGTTAGTAGATAGTAAACGCGACTATTTGTACTGGCACCCGGATCTCTGCTCCTCGGAGGTACCCCATTTTCCATCACGCTGACCTTAAACATGCTCGCTAAGCCTTCAGTCTAACTGGCTACAAACATCGAAGTGTGTGTTTACGGATCTTAATGTTTTGCAATCAAGATTGATACTGGTCATCTGTCGAGTGGGTCAAGACATGAAAGCGTAAAAGGGATGCTGAAACACCGAGTTCGACAAGTCCCCACTCAGTTAAAAGTGCTTTAAAGATGTGTAATTACATCAAGTATAAAATTTACAAATTCACAATCGGCTGTCAAATAGGTGCTTCTCGACCACCTTCTATCACCTGCAAAGTGCATAGTCAAACCAAATGCTCAAGAAATTGTCACCCAGACTTCAAGAAATTATGCTTTTGTCAAATAAATGGCTCTCTGACTGGTGCTTTGAGATTCAAATTCTACTGCTGCCCCTCATCTCCACTTAACTGACCTTGTGGTACTGACCCATCTTTTCAGATCCTAAGTGCATCATTAACTCAAATGTTACACAAATGATACTCATTTTTATAACAACGGGATTCTTATGTGAAGCGATATTTGTTTAAAGAAGTTCTGACTACTTGAAATTGCACGCGTCTAGTCATCAAGAGACCTTATTTCTGCCATGACTTTCAATGCAACGTACCGATACAATCTTGCCACCATCCACACCCGGCTCTCCGTTGAACATCAACTTGGCACCGTACCAGAACGTGAGACCGGCAGAGGCGAAAATCGCAAAACTGATCAGACCAGCGCCTGGTACAATGAAAAGCACTAGTCTTCAGCAGTCTGTGGTGTTGCTTCGTGGGTGATCTTCCATCGAACCGTCAAAGGCAATGTGTGGGGTCAAATTCTACTTGATTAGTAAGCGCACTCTTTACAATACAACCTGATCAAAATCGCTTATCGGCACTCAAACAATCAGTCGCTCAGTTTTTTGTCTGACGGGATTATCGTTTCTCTTGCTGAGTCTGGAGCTAAGCAAGTCTTTGAGTATTGGAACCAGAAGCAATGTTAGGGAGAACATCTCCACAAATTCATGAATTAGAGGAAAAAACAGCATAAAGCAGCACACAGTTTTTATGATTACCTCTCTCAGATCGGTTTTGTAAAATAAACTTAACTGACTAGTTTCGGAAATTTCATTCGCATTTACATCGCTGACATAATATTGCATTTACCACAGATAAAAATTTGAGTCTTGGATGAAAATGCATAATTCTTAGTGCAATGGTACACTGGAGAATTTCTCTTAACTAAACTTACAGTTTCCATAAATGCAAAAAAAATGGAATCGAAATATTACCAAAGCCGACGACTATGTTCTTTTTGAAGGAGACCCTCGCAGCTGCGCCCAGATTTGTATCGTATCGAGTCGATTCCTTCTCTTGACCGATGAAAGCAAACACGGTTCTAATGGAGGAAAGTACTTCACTCGCAATGCTATTAGCTCGCGAATAAGCCTTCTCTTCCTTTGTTGAATAACGACTCAGACCCACACCCAAAATAACGAAGGCTATTACAATGACAGGTGTGGTGGAAAGTCCTACAAGGGCCATCTTCCACTGATTTTGAAAAGCACTCCCAAAACAGCTGATAAAAAGGACCAAGTTTTGCAAAAAGCGGCCCAGTCGATCGCCAATACCCGCTTCAATTTGGTCCACCTGGGAAGTCATTTTTGTAATGAGGTCTCCCATGGACTGCCTGTCAAACCAACTGGCATCTTGTCGCAACATTTGCTAGAAATAACACAAAATACTGAGCTGAAATGCGATAAAATCAACACCCAAACAACAGTCTCTTTATTGGCCGGCAATAAATGTACGGGATTCTATAAATGAGAATAACTCACCTTAAATAATTTTAGTCGAATCCTTCGGCTCTGTCGTTTAGATGACAGGCTGAAGCAAAACATTTGGGCAAAGCCAACGGCAAGAGTTATTGAAGCCAGCAAGATGTACCATTTTAGCATCTCATCCATGGTCTTAAGTGCTTCTATGTTAGCATCGGGACCCACAAATCCATTGACTACTTCAGTAACAATAAGCAAATTTAGTGGAAAGGATATTCCAACAATAATGCTGCCGATAGCTCCAATAATTAGCATTATTACGTCCGCCTTATCTGCATAGCGAAACTGTCTGTTTACAAAAAGATATGTATGTCTTACCAGTGAGAGAAATGAAACTTTGGTCTCAGCCTGTGAAACCCTAAAAAAGGGTGAGACACAAAAGAAAATGTCTTACGAGTTATCAGACTGCAGGCTAGGCACAGTTAACGGTTTATCATTACCGTAGTGCTCTATCTTTAAAGTAGAAAAACCAAAGTTGCAAACAAAATATTAAAATATCCAAAGTCAGGTTTGTGCAAAATCATTATTTCGCTTACTATATCTGAATATTCTGTGTCATCAATGGGTAGAAACTCAGATGAAATTCTGAAATTTTCTGCTTTAAAAATAAAATACCTCTTTTCTTCTGCATTAATTATCAATGGGTTCGAGCTCATCTGTTATCATCCAGTTACAAATTACGCACAAATGACGGACGCTCGACCTTTTAGATGCATTGGCAAAGATTAACAAAGGTTCGCAAGTAATAAATGCAGCGCGTTTACCAGCTTCAATAAGATTATTTTAAAATTAACCAATTTTATGTTTTACTTCTAAACTGTGGGAACAACGAGTACACAGCATTTTGTTAGGCCCAGAAACAAGAGTCTAAGCATAATGGGTGATTCACGCTTTGGCTTTTGTAGCGTTTGCATGCGCTTCTTTATTGCATTTTAAAAACTTGAGAAAATGAAGAGCTTTCTATAGCGTTCCGAGGCTCCAAAT